TACGCCAGGTTAGGTGAGGCACCGGGTGCTTGTCTCGCTCCTAGGTTCGGGGCGTGACAAATAAAAGCTTAACTTAGTCAAGTAGCTAATTTCTAANCAAAAATTGTATTTTCAAACATAAAATCAATGAATACTAGGAAAGGGATGGAAGAATTGATCAAATCCTCGCTTTTTAGTGTTTTGTGCCTCTCTTCTTCTTTTAAATCCGTTCCCTCCCTTCAAAAATAGGTTTAGGTTGGCTTTTATATGAGTTGGGGGCGTCTAGGGGTCGAAATAACCGAGTCCTAGTCAAAAAAGGAGAATTCCCGTTGTGAGCGTCCAGGCCAGCGTGGGGCGCTGGACCTGGCGCTCAAACTTCTTTGCTTCTGTAAAGTGCGCCACAGCGAGCGCCCCACGCTGGTTGTGGCGCTCAACTTCCATTTCTGCAATTTTGTTTCGATTTCGCTCCAATTCATGCCCTTTCGTCCCAAATTGCATCCGAATGATTCCTACACATAGAAATACCAAAATTTAGCACAAACAATCATATTAAACATCTCAAATCGTCGAGACGTGAACAAAATGTGAGGTGATATATACCAAAATATGCATTCATTAAGCCGATTATCACGTTCCTAGCTTTGAGGCGTCCTTGCAGGGTATAATACAGAGTTTAGATTCGACAGGATTGACAGGGCCCTCTGGATCCTCATCAGACCCATCCCAGCCAGGACCATCGCATTCAGGAGTTGCTTGAGGAGGCTTTTTATTTATATGTTCTGAGCCTATTTTATGTTGTCTTTTACTTTCTAGTCGTGTCCAGTAGTATTGAGTCCTTTAGGTGGTGTCAGAGTTTGTCGTAGTCTGGTTGAGTTTGTCAAGTTTTTTGTTATCATATTTCCTATTTTGTATTTGAAAACTAAAAAAATATATAAATGAAAATTCCAAAAAGATTTTTATTTTTTTAGTCTATTTTATTCATCACTTTTCCAGAACTACGCTTAGTCTAATATATGTGGAACATGATACGTAGGCGACCTACATCGGGTTTGATCGAATCATTTTAAAAATTAAAGAAAAGAAAAAAGATGAAGTTGTGGGATGTGAGAAATGAGAGGAAAGAAAAGAATGATAAGCATAAAGGAAAAGAGAAGAAAGAAAATGAGTAAACCAAGGAGTGTTAGAGAGGAAAGAAAAGAGGAAGGTTGGAACGAGCAAATTTGGATGATGCCATATGACCTTGTGACCCTCAAAGTCATTCTAGAACCGTTAATTGTTGATAGGTTCATTGCACGTAATGTGATATTATTATCTGATAAATGCCCTAACGCTAACATCTTGACTTTCTTTTGCTCCTCTTTGTTATCTTTATTATTATTATTATAATATAGGAAGGTGGTTAGTTTGTTGCACTCTGGCGAGTCATCCATACAACACTAGGTCAAAGAGCAAGGAAGTCATGGCTAGCAAAGAATTGGACACAAATGTTGTTAATCCATCAAGAGAGATTGTGCAGTTAGAATCTGACTTGAAATAAGAGGTCCAAAGGTTGAAACAGCGTATGGCAGAGACGTATCAAGCTTGGATCAATGGGCATCCTCCACCCTCATTTCCCGCTATCTACACTGAAAACCCTGCCACCATCCCACCACTATCGCAAGCCCAGATTTCCACTACCAAGACATTTTGGCCCATCCTGCTGATGCGACGAGGCTGCTACAGAAGTCTTTTTCACAGACAGGCATCTCCGGGCATGCTTATGGTGCGAGTGCTTCATCTCGAAGTCCCCGGCCGTTGAACAAGTAACCAAAAAGAAGATGTTCCTCCGTGGCTGGGGGAAAGAATAAGAGGGTGAAGAATGCTGCCCCCGAGTTGTCTTCGGAAGTCGTGGTGACGAGCCCTCCACCCGGGCCGGCCATAGATACCATGATGATTGATGATGATAGAGAATCTAGTGAGGAGGGGGCTTCTCTACACGGAAGGCCACCTTCATCAACTCAACAGACTGCTCAATTTGTTGAGTTAGTTACACCAACCGAGGACGATGCCTCTCTAGGGGGAGTTTGAGATGGTGGAAAATGACAACTCCCATTTTCGGATCCCAGTCGATGCGCCCGATATTGTGGGGCTGAGTACCAGGTCCCTGCCATTTTTGGTTGACGAGTAACCAAATACCAGCACTATGTTTGTCGCAGCTGCTTCTCACCCTTCAACGCCATCAGCTTCATCTCCTTCTTCACCAACTCTTTCACCAACAACTTCTACATCATCTTCGTCGGCCGCATCTGTCCGAAAAGAGGATGTTTCTATCCCTCAGTCCCCAGTTCATGGGAATATGGGGCAAAATTATGCTTCCTCCTCAGAAGATCCGCAAAGGAGAAGGAGTGTTACTCTCTCAATCTCCACCAGATGCAATTTGTTGTCCTGAATGATAGAACTTGCTAACTAACTGAAGCCTTTGTCTTCAAAAAAAGGTTGGGAAAAGATACTGGCTCTCTCAGGATAGTGCTTATTAAACAATGCTATGCACAACGCCGCAGCAGTATACTCTTCATTTCCTCTGACATTTCTTTTGTCTTTGATTTAGTAGTATTTTGAGTTTGCCTTTCTTGTTTCACATGCCAATTTTCTTACTTCCGAGGGCCTCCAAAGATTATTTTGGAAAAAGTAGGAATTTACCTCCGAGAGGGATCAACTTTTGGCCAAGAGGGACCAATCTGTTGTTCGCCTCTCAGAACTGGAAGCCAAAACTACTAAGGTTGTTGAGTTGGAGGCTCGTTTGCAGCAGAGCGAGCAAGAATTAGAGACCCTTAGCCAAGAGATCGGCCCGCTAAGGGTTTAATTTGAAGAAGTTAGGGCCAAACGGGTTGAAGTCCATAGTGTCGTACTTGCTGTATCCGATAGTGAGGCTGCCTCCGCTAAAAAGTTAAATAATTTGGAGGCAGCCTTGAACTCCAAAACTTAAGAGCTTGTTGTTGCCGGAGCGAAATATTCCCAATTGGAGGAGAAGTATAAGAAAACCATTGAGCACAATAGACTTATCAGCTCTACTGTTCCCGAACTCGATGTTAGCATCAAGTCTGTTAGATAAATCTATTTGCCGAGGTTGACTAGCTTAAAGAAGAACTCAAGCGCCGAGCGAATTCCCTCATTATTGAAAAAACATATGTTATGTACAGCATGAGGAGAAAAACCTTGGAGGAGGCTAAAACGGGTGTCATTGACTTTGATGTCAAAATCACTAAAGCCCGTGAGCTGGAGTCAGCTGCTAAAAGGGGTCTCTCAGCCAGGCCTGATGCCTCCGATTCTTCTGGTTCCGGTTCCGAATCCTCGGGAACTAAAGAGCAACTGGAAGATAAAGATGTTGAGGGACAAAATAATGAGGGTCAAGATATCGAACCAGCGGCGGATCCATCTACTTCCCCTAGGGGCACAGATTATTCTCTTCCTCCAGGTTCCGGAGATGCAGCAGCATAGCTTTTCATATCTTTTTCCAACTTTTGTACTTGTGCCGTTTTGGCACATTTATAGAAATAACTTTTGCTCAAGTATTGCATGAGCCTTTCTACATTATTTTGTTTGAACATTTATGCAAGTTTTAATCTTTGTATTCTTTCTTGCTTAAGTGGTTTGCGCAAGTTTTATTGTTTTCGTCTGATTATGCAAGGCTTTGGGTGTATTTTCTCCTAAAAGCATTTGGACTTCGACCACAATTTCTTCTGAAATCAACCCTTTATCGTGAGGGTTTTCATAAAGGAGGTCCCTCTTATGTTTACGGTACTCTTGAAGATGGTGTCTTTTGTTCATTACGGCACTAGTATTTGAAGTACTTGTTTAACTTTCAAATGACAAAATCAATTCATCGTTCAGATAAGAAACAAGATAGAAATAAAAGTACTTTACTTTATTCCTTTCATTTTCAAAAGTACACAAGCATTCGTTATGCTAAAAAGAAATTTTCATTTCTTGTGTCTAACTTGTACAACTTGTTTCTAAGGGGCTTGCCGCGCAATCCCCAGTCCTGATGATACAACTATGTTTCAAATTTCGTATTTCGGTCAACGTG